GCAGTACGAAACCCAAGTTCAAGGTGTCTCCTTCGTGCCAAAGAACTGCATGGCTGTTGGGTGAACAGTCGTTAACGAGGGCAGGCAGGTCGTTGTAGGGGCGACGCCTGCTGGTGGATGTAATGTCCTAAGTCCCTTCCCCAGCTAATAATGAGGGTACTGCTGGGGTGACCGTTTATTAACCCTCATATAATTTTTCCGGTCAAAATGGACGCTAGGTACGGCCACCTTTTTTTTTTTTTTTTAAAGCCGTGGCAAATATTTTTCCAGACGGTGGCCGTTGCATTTTTGCTCCATTTGTAGACTGGAAGGATGTAGTTTCGTCGCCCAGCTTCTGAGTTGAGTGCATGGCGTGACACTGTGAGCTGCGTTTGTTTTTCGTTGGCACAGGAGCGGAGCATGTGTGGGGTGACCCGTTTGCTATGAAGCTGAAACTATGATTACCAGATTACCAGATTACCAGATTACCGCGCATTAAAAAACCGAGCTTCTCAACTCTTAATATCTCCGCCATGGATCAACAAATGAAGATGGCAGGCCTGGCTCCTATCCAACTACGGCACATGTTTCAGGTACACTAGTTCTTGGGAATTCAGCAGAATGATCCGGTTTTGTACACGGATGCCAATTAGAAGCTATTTCAGTCGTAATCTTGACACAGATGTGAGCTACCTGCTGCTCCGAGACAACTTCATCATGAGCTGACATCCCCAAAGGAAATATCAAATAGCCTGTGTTAACTCTTTCAGTCTTTGGAGCTTTAACATGTTCTCATATTTTTAAACTAACGCAGTCTTGCCTAACTGTGTAATTGAGAAGCCGGGACATATCTAAACGTGGTAACCAACATCCCAGAAATATTTTTTTAACCTGTTAACCCGAACCATCTATACAGTTATGTAACTGATAAAACCAGTACAGTACGAGGAGGATTAGGAGGAGAGAAAAAAGAATAGGAGGATGAAAAGTCGGAAGAGGAGGGCAGTCAGCAGGAGGAGGAGGAGGAGGAGAAAAAGAAGAAAAAGGCGACGACGACGAAAAAGAAGAAGAAAAAGAAGAAGAAGATTGGACAAATCAAATACACAAAGCTATAAATACTGTATCGTTCATATGCAGGAAGGAGGCAAAAAGCACTATCGGATATATAGAAAGCCTACCAGTACACTGTTGAAGAATATTTATTCAAATATTCTATTTATTCTTCTGTTGTTTCTTCTTCCATCAGTGCTCTTTTCCTTGGCAGCTTCCCCAAAACGTCTCTGTTTCTGCTTATATTGCTAGCATGAAGCGAAGACCGGGCGTGGGGTGGGGGGGGGGGGGGGGGGGGTTCAAGTCCACAAGCAGATAAGAAGTCATAACAAGACCCCAAACGCTAATATTTGTCAGAAACTCGACAACAGCGATCCTCAAATTGTATTCACGGAATAGTTGGTTGTAGTCTGGTGAAATACTCTTTAACTGCATATACATATTCATAATATGTGGTAGTCTTGTCCGCGTAGACAGTATAAGGAGAATCTCTTACAAGGTACACACCAACACACCAACACACCAACACACCAAAGCACAAAGAGACGACCACACATGACTTTAAAATAGCAGTTTCCTGCCATGTATGTCTGCTATTGTGCCTTTAACAAATTGCATGCCGTTGTATTTCCGAAATTTTTTTTGTTAATACGTATCCCGGCGACGTGAATTTTTGCGTGGGGTCCTATTTTAGTCTGGACGTTAAATTTTTTTACAAGTAAATTATATTTACAGTTCCCAGTTGTTTTGAAACAGATTTGTTTTTGTAATTTCAGTAACACAACAAATTTTGCAGTATCGACGTGAATTATCCTAACACTAACCCTAACTACACACGTTACGCTTCACAACTTGACATGAATCCTGTGAAAGATCCTGCAAATCATTTTAAAGGCCCCCCGTGTGGGTTCCGGGGCCCCATTGAGGGGAAAACAAGAATAGACCCACTGCCTCCCCAAAAGCATGTCGTAAGAGTCGACTAATTGGGGAGCTTCCTTTGAAGTCGGAGTGCATTTGCCAGTGAGGCAAGGAACCAACAGTCTGTATTCAAGAGAATGAGATCTGTAAAACTGATGCACACGCAACATTCAGGTTCTGGAGCAGGACTGCAGTTCAGTAGAGGACGAGCAACCAGAACTTTCCGCCAGAGTGTACAGCTGGTGAACACGAAGAAGAAGAAGAAGATTTTAAAGGCTAACAATTGTGACCCTATTCAGAATTTACCTAACATACAAGAAACATGTGTGTCTGCGAAAGATCGACTGGATGCATTTGAACTGTGTGCTATATAACGTTTAAAAGAAAATCGAGCAAGCAAGGATTTTTGTATAAATACATTCAAAACAATGTTTTCCCGTAATGAATTTAAATAATGCGGATACAAACAATACATTGCACAATTTATTGCCAGGCATATTTCGCTGTATCTCATCAGGTGCGTTACTGCAGAGTTACATCAACATAAAATAAAGCACAAAACTGAATAAATTTAACTGAAATGCGAATAGTTTCTTCGATACATTGTCTCTCTTTCATGGCCGCCGGAAGCTCACCGTAGTCACTGACTACCAGGGTAACTTCAAATGTACGACAAATTCCGTCTGCTTACAAAGGAGGGTATAAATACATTCCTCGAATAAGCAAACATGCATTCTAATTACTTGTTATAAGGTAAAACGAAATCTGACCTAAAGTTGAGAAAACATCGGCATCAATTTGAAAACGCAACATAGCATTTTTGCTCTTACTGTACACGCATGATCTATTCCAGGGGTACAAGCTTAAATAAAGAAAAATATTCACACACACACACAAAAAAAGAAAACAAAATTATGTCCTGTCTCCACAATAAGGATTGTCGGAATGAAGTACACCCTCAGGTGTCTGTGGGACCACTGCTTGGTGATGCCCCAATCCCTTCCTCAGTGTGACTCTCGTATTTAAAAAAAAAACATTTGCTGCGGAAATCGAACCCTAGTACTTCAAGGACTATGAAATTGTTTAATGCATTCACTAACCCACAAGCCATCTGGTCGCACTAAAAAATACAAGCTAATACAAAATGAGTAAATTAAATCAAATACGTGTTTATATCTTTCTCTCCTTAATGCGCTAAGAAGGGTCGATAGCACTTTGTGTTGTGGTTTACAGACAGGATCCGATAGCTGCTCCTTTCAACCCAACATATCTGTTTAAGAAAATCCTCAATTAGTCGACAGTTACTTGATGCTTGTTAAGATGCATCGCGTCTATTGGTCCAGTGTATTTTGTGAATCTTTTTATAGCTCGGCCCAGAAGCCCACATCTTCTTCTTTCATGACTGGGAGGTTGTCCACTGCTCACATCCGTATGTTTCTACAGGAGAGATTCATACTCTCCGAAATGTTGACAACAGACTATATTGTCTATGATCCTTGAAATCTTCGTCGCCTGTTCAGGCCCCCTGATATTTTCAGAACCGTCTGTCTAGAAATGTGACAGTAAGAAACTTGAATATAGGTAAACTGGTGGGAAGTTTCACATTACAAACAGTTTATAAACACATCACAGTATCACTCGACGGGAGCTCTGTATAATTGGGAAGTCTGCACTGAATTATGTAATTTTATAATATTTATTAGACGTTTGAAAAAGCAGGAGTATTGCAGGGACGCTGAAACCTAGGGGCTCAGGAATCTACAACGTTGCGAACGCGCTTTGTAATGCCAGGGTGCCAGGTTTGATCCCAGCTGCGACCCTTGCGCCGTGCGTTGATTTTGACAGTGGTATCGAGAAGCCGACCGTCTAGCAAGCAATGGCAAACTACTGGAGTAAAATTTGCCTATAAAAACCACAACAGCCAATAAATGCTGGGGTTGGTTCTTCAATGTCCTGTAAAGGATACGCAACTAACTTTTTTTAACCCCTTGTGCGACCGTGCCAGCCAGAAAGGCAGAACTCCATGTTTAGAAGGAAAAATGGAAGGAGAGGGGAAGGGGGTAATTAATTTCAGTACCGATCAACTCGCTATGCGCTTGCTGTGCACTGCAGTTCGTCCTTTCCAGGATTGTACTCTTTTAATACGACTGTGGCGAAATAGTCGAGCCGCTTGCCCCGTGCTCTGAAGGTCGCAAGTTCGTGTCACGAAAGCGCCGCTCAGTTCACGAGAGCAATTCTTAAGGAGATCCCTGGGGATCATTACCGGAGCTGCGAAATTCGTGTTTTGTGCGACGCTCTCTGAAAGCGGTTAGCCGTTTTGCGGTAAGAAACCGAATACAGGATGAAATCCCGTGCAATAAAGTTAATAGTATCAACTTTAAATTTTTTTTTTTAATGCTCACTTCATGGTAATACAGCTCCCACTTGCTTGCGTCCTTCAATTACCCAGAAAAGCTGCATAACGATTGAGAATTGCGTCACCAACATGTCCGCCATCTGTGGAATATGAGTGTAATCGTCTGCCAGAGCTTGCAGGCGGCTTCTTCAGGTTTATGATCTAGGTTGATGATTGTTGCAGCCGCTCGGAATCTGCTGGATGACTTTCAGCCCTCGTTATGTAGCTCGGAGAATGTTCTTTGGAAGTGTGAATTACAGAATTGAGTGATGAAGGAAAGACAAAGAGAGATAGACAGAGAGACGAGGTGGAGAGAGGGAGAGAGAAGGTGGGGGGGGGGGGGGAGAGAGAAAGAATGGTAGAAAAGAAATACATAACAACGGTAGCCGAGCATCAGGCTAGCAGCCCGACAGCCAGACAGGCATATTTACATATAGGCAAGTAGGCAGTTTCTTATTCTTCTTTCGTCCGTTTGAAATTAATTATCAATATCTGCAATTTTGTCTTTAATATATTTTTTTTTAAAGTGGCAATGTATACATGTAAACTGAATTCCTATCCTAAAATGTACGTAACAGTTTAAAAAACGATAAAAAGAAGAAGAAGAAGACGAAAAAGAAGATGGCGAAGAAGGAGGAGGAGGGAGAGCCAGAATTAGAAGAAGAAAAAGAAGAAACGGAGGAAGATGAGAAGGAGGGGAGAAGAAGAGGAAGAAGAAGAAGAAGAAGAAGAAGAAGAAGAAGAAGAAGAAGAAGAAGAAGAAGAAGAAGAAGAAGAAGAAGAAGAAGAAGAAGAAGAAGAAGAAGAAGAAGAAGAAGAAGAAGAAGAAGAAGATAGAGAAGAAGAAGAAGAAGAAGAAAGAAAAAGCAGAAAATAAAAGAAGAAGAAGAAGAAGAAAGAAAAAGAAGATGAAGGAGAAGAAAGAAGAAGAAGAAGAAGAAGAAAGAAGAAGAAGAAGAAGAAGAAGAAGAAGAAAGAAGAAGATGAAGAAGAAGAAGAAGAAGAAAAGAAAGAAGAAGAAGAAGAAGAAGAAGAAGAAGAAGAAGAAGAAAGAAGAAAGAAGAAGAAGAAGAAGAAGAAGAAGAAAGAAGAAGAAGAAGAAGAAGAAGAAGAAGAAGAAGAAGAAGAAGAAGAAGAAAAAGAACAACAACAACAACAACAACAACAACAACAACAACAACAACAACAAGACGAAGAAGAAGAAGAAGAAGAAGAAGAAGAAGAAGAAGAAGAAGAAGAAGAAGAAGAAGAAGAAGAAGGACAAGTGAAATGGCCTAATCTTTTGTCTTTAATGACCTCCAGCGTTCCTTCCATTCTCGCCAATAGGCAAATCAAACAGTCTCACATGCCTCCCTTCCCTTTCTCCGACTCAGCAGTGACCTCAAGTGGTTCTCATGCTCACACTGTTTATGTAATGCCGTCCCGGAAGTTCTAATTGTTATTGTATACAAGAGCTCTCTACTCAGTTCCTCAGTGCGGTTTGAACCACGGGAAAACACTTGACTGTGTGAGAGCTCTTGAGGCTGAGAGTGCTAGTGAAAACCTACCCTCCTCACCCTTTTCCATGCGACTGTGACTCCAACATTCTCTGATGTCTAGATGTCGGGACGTGATACCAACAGGATGGAAGGAAGCAAGAGTGTGCGGATGTGCCCCAGCTGCGGAACATACTACGCATTAGCTGCAGTTGGTAGCACTTGATGGTGGAGTCCGGTCTCTGCACGGCTGCTGGAGTATGGGACAAGCGCCCCGCCACCGGGAGATTGAGGGGGGGGGGGACCTTAGTCCCGTTATTATTTTCTATGTGGTGGGCTCAATGGGCTCTTGTTTAAGTGCGCAATTGTTATTTTATTTTCAATATCATCATCATTATTATTATTATTATCATCATCCTTTACGAAATCCATCGCCAACACTAGCATTATTATGTATGAAACAAAAGGAAAAAGAGTATATTAATATGTCTGAAATCATATGAAGTATACAGATGTACACACAATTCAAGATAGGCGTATCAGCCATGTGCACCGGTGGAAAGGTGCCCCAGATATCGGAGCATGTACTCCAGGACTGCACCGAATTTAACACATTAAATAAAGCAGAAGACATTTTCTTAACGACGCTAGACTCATATTTTATCCCCGAACTGCACTCGACGGCTGCCTTTACCTCCAAGAAGATTACCTGTTATCAGTTTCAGCTGGGTCGACCTGGCAGCCAAAGTCAGCTCTAAAGAATGGAGGGGAGGGGGCCGGTCCATCCCCATAAACATTCTCACCTTAGGCAAGCAGACGAAGGTAACTCGTTCTGCCCCGTAGTTATTTTTGTTTCACAAGTGTGTAAGAGATTCAACTGGCCAGACAGTCAAGTTGATTTCTATCGGAGATTCTTCATGTAAACGATTTTGGGTACTCTTGTTCGTTTTTGTGACAATGTCTAATCATAAAATGTGCTGATGAAGGCTTTCTATCCGCAACGTTCACTTGTCGCTTGTGTTGGTGATCATGTGAAGCTGGCTAGTTTTACTTGATGTTTAGATGATATCTTTAATCTCCGCCCGAATCTAATACTTATTTCTCTAAAGGACATACACTGTTTGGGATTAATGATATGAGGTTTAAGGTTTTGAACAACGGATCAACATCATGGCACACAGGTAGTAACCCATAAGTGCTCCGTTCTTCTTCTAACTCTAGTCTGTCCGAAGAAGCTCAGCGCAGTGCACAGGCTCTGTAGAACTGGCGAGGATCCTGAAAAACTTTGGGTAGATTTGTAATTCAAAATTTTACCCGGGCAGCGCCGTTAGGCTACTCTTTTCGATTTCCAACTGCCAAGGGACTTTTTACCTGCGAAACAATACACACGGGCGTCCGATCTCACTACCTAGAGATCAGAGGAGTTACTGGATGTCCAAGTCCACATGCGAAAATCCCAGCCCTTACCGGGGATTGAACCCGGGACCTCTAGCACTCGGGGCGGACACCATGCCTTGAGACCATGCACCTCCTGGGACTAAAAGACTAATAAAATACCCTTACTCATTCATCGTTCTTCAGGCATTTGTCTTCATTGTACGTAAAAAAAGTGCACGACCCTTTTCAACACCTTAAAGGAGCTACTGGGAATACAGGTAGGCGTATATTTTATAGACAAATCGGCACTTGGTGGGTGATGTGGTCAGCATCACCCCGATCGCCTTTACCTCCCAGGATTGCACCTGGTACTCACTTAAGGCTAGGTCGACCTGGGAGCCCAGGTCATTTTTTGACAAACGTCTGGCCCCACCAGGACCCGAACCCACGCGAGCATTTTGTATCTACACCACGACGACTTCTATTGTACATAAAGCGTTTAGTATCTACACCACGACGACTCCTACTGTACATAAAGCATTTAGTATCTACACCACGACGACTCCTGTTGTACATAAAGCGTTTAGTATCTACACCACGACGACTTCTATTGTACATAAAGCATTTAGTATCTACACCTCGACGACTTCTATTGTACATAAAGCATTTAGTATCTACACCACGACGACTCCTACTGTACATAAAGCATTTAGTATCTACACCACGACGACTCCTATTGTACATAAAGCAATAATAATTTATAATTAAAAAAAAAAAAACACTTGTACATTTCCCGATATTTCTCATCAGTCACTTTCCCACTGGAAGTAAAATAGTGATTCAGTCCTCACAACTTCACCTTTTAACCCCTAGACCTTGTCGATATGCTGCCTCCAATTAGAGATTGCCAGCTGGCTTCTTCAAACAAACACAGCTGCCTTAAGACAAACTCGGAAGATCAGTCACAATCTTAGCCCTAGGCATGACTTTTGGTATCAGTTGGGAGAATCTGCTTTATGTGGTTCTACTTTCAGGCTGGCACAGATGTACTGTACTGTCTGGTCAGTGTGAAATGACGCTAACCGTCGGCAGTGTCAGGATCTGTAGCGCGTTTCATAGTCGTGTCAACACACTTTATACAAACATCTCGAAAACTCTTCTAGGATCAACGCGATTTTTTGCATGGGCCATAGATTTTTATCTTTGACTAATAATTTGTGTATCCCTAAAAAAAGAGTACAGAGCAACTATATGGAGCCATGCGTGGTGATTACTGTGATAACCTATCCAGCATTAAATGAAATATCCACAACTCACGGAAGACTAATGCTGCAGATGACCACCTGAGAGTCAGATGCCTAAAAAGCACATCCTGTCGGATGTTCTGAAAAGTTCCCGTTACTCCTAACTATAAACATGTTTATTGTTTCCTTTGAATCTGTGTCTGTTTCTTCATATACCGCAAAAAGGGCAAAATGAAAACTACATGTTTATTTATGTTAAACAAATTTCTCACAAGGACATGATAACTAGCAGGCTGAATGCCCACATTTCATGAAATTACACTGAACAGTTACTGGGTTACAGATGTTTAAAGTTAGACGGGACTTCTTGAACGAACTATTTAATCATTTACTGGCATTCCTCCTGGCGTTCACCTCTTTTTGAAAGTTCTGGTTGTTCGTCTATCACTAGATTTTAGTCTTGTTTCAGAACCTGAGTGTTTCGTAGGCTGTATGCAGATTGTGGTTTCCTTGCCTCTCATGCAGATATACTCCGACCACGAATCATCAGTTCTCGTTATTCCTAGTGGCACATGAGGCTTCAGAGAGGATTTTCCATGCTTTCCTGTCCTGTGCAATCTTCAGTGCAGTTTTCCATGTCAAAGATGCTGCACTCAGGTCACTTTCCATCGTTCGCCTCCATGTTGTTTTTGGGCGCCCCTGTTTTCACTTTCCCTCTGGTGTTCATGTGAGAGCTGTTTTGGCGGGTATTTCAGGATTCAATCTCATAACGTGGCCAAGCCATTTCCATCTTCTCTTGGTTATCATACTGTCTTAAGTTTCTTGGTTTGTGGCTCAAAGTAGTTTAGTGTTTGAGATTGTATCTGGCCAGAAAATTTTGATAGAAGGAAGCCCATAATTAATCGACTCTTACTTCATGCTTTCTGGGGAGGCAGAGGGTCTATTTTGATTTTGTCTACAACTGGGCTCTGGAATCCACATTCAACCCAAGGCGTTGATTGTTGTTGAAACTACAGTAACACCTCGTTAAAACGAACTCGCCTAAGGGGAACTCTGGGTTAACATAATCACCAAAATGGTTCCTGCAGAGACGTGTTTGTATAAACATGTCTCTGTCTTGGTCTGCGATGGTCACGTGTGGGTCTGGGGCCCCACTGGAGGGGGAGGGTGGGGGGGGCGGGGGAAAACAAGAACAGACTTAATGCCTGCCAAAAATAATGTTGTAAAAGACCAGTAACTGAGGTCTTGCCTGAGAGGCAAGGAACCAACAATCTGCGTACAATTAAGTCAGATCTGTAAAACAGATGTGCATGCAACACTCTGTTTCTGGAATAGGACTAGAGTCCAGAAGTGGACGAACAGCCAGGACTTTCCGATGGAGTTTACAGCCCGTAAACGCAAAGAAGAAAAAGAAGTCCCCAAAGAGCAGGAAGTGGTTAACACGAACTTCTCATTTTTTTGAACCCTTGAAATTCGTGTTAACGAAATGTTACTGCATTTGTTTGCTTCGCTTCTTACATAAATACTTCAATAATTGCTGATATTATCGCTACTGCAGCAACAACCACAAAAACTCCAACATCAACTATAAAAACATTAACCAGTACAACAACAACAGCTACTACCACTACACGCTGTACCAACTACAACTATTACTACTGCCACTACCACCATTTATACTACTACCACCACCACTACACGCTGTACATACTACAACTATTACTACCACCACTACGACCATTTATACTACTACCACTACCACTACACGCTGTACCAACTAC